ACCTACATTACTAGAAAAAGCATTAACTAAACCTTTATTCAATTACAGTTCTACTTAATATCTATATATACATACAGTAATAGATGCATTGAATAATTTTGGTTTTTATTTATCTCAAATTCAATAAGAGACTCCTAAATTATGTACAGAGATGACATACTCCCATAAAACTTGCTCTGAAAAGAGCTAGATGTTGGTATTTTTCATCTTTAGTTTTAGTATAATGATGTAAAAAATAAAACTTTCCCATTTTTTATTGTCAGTTTATGGTTAATACACCTACAGGTACAATCTCCACTTAGGACAGCCAACCTTAGAGCATCACTGCTGCTCTGAATGATGTCAGCATGGGAACAACAATTCACCTGATGGGGTGGCCACAAGGGTCGCCAATGATTGGCTGGGGGTGACCATAGCCACCATTCGTCCCCCATCTAGCTACACCCCTGGTCTTTGATAGTCTTTCAGCATAGCCAACCGTCCCTTGAAAAACAGAACCGTTCCGTGTTTAGAAATAGAAGTACTTATCCCGTATTTAATGGAAAAGGAATGTACTTTGTCCCGTATTCAGAATCAGACATACTTTAATAATCTCAGAGGGAAATTACTTGTATTAATAAATTACTTGTACAGTATTACTGTGAGAGTAGAAAAATAGTCACTAATAAGCTAATGGAAAATGAAAGGAAGGGGCACGTTAGATACAAAACTTACGGTAAAATTATACTGCGTTGTGACCAATGAGCTGACAACATATATGTAACGTTCTATAATACCCTCATCCCATTGGTCGAGCCAAGTGTTGCTGACAAAGATAGTGGGAGACAACAGAGCAGTGTGGGGGATGAACAGAGTAATTTAAAGGAAAAGGAATCCTGGCAGTCCAAAGGAACAGCAGAGAGGTGGATGGAGGTTCTTCAGGCAGCTGACCTTCCCAACATCCAAGCTGCTGTGTCCTTGGTCCTCAGCATCCCATCTTCCACTGGTTTTGAGGAGAAGATTTTCTCCTGATTGAAGAACAAATGGACTAATGTGCAGAACAAATGTTCCACTGAATTAATTAAAGCTCAGCTCATTGCCGGCCTCAATTATGAACTGCCTTGCTAAGAGTTTTACTCTGCAGCGCTCAGAGACAGAGAACTCCTCACTGCACCTAGAGCTCAGAGGAAACACAAGTGGAAAAAAGTAGGCTATTGCCACATAATTTGAGCTAATGACTTTTATTTCTGTTTTACAAATGTAGCCTACAGTCATTGTGATTTAGGCACAAATCTGTTTACAAGTTTGCTGTTGCACCAAAAATGTGCACTATTTATTTATTATATTCATTTTTACAGTTTGAAGTTCAGCAGGAGAGGCTTATGTTTAAGATACTTATTTTATTCAGCAAAGTTTGCTATTTTGTATTAAAGTGAATTGCTGGATAATAATGTGTTTTCCATGTATCCATGTCACTCACTAATATGCATCAAATTCAACAGATTTAAGTTAAATAAAAAATCATTTAACACACAAAGGGGGGCTAAAAAAAAATCACCAGGAGGGGTGTTTTTTTTTTCAGGGAGTTTGCAACCCTATTTCAGCATGGTTACCCAAAGTGGTGCAATAATTCTGTGAAGAAGGGAAAAGCTCAACTATGAATGAAGTATTAAAATCCCGTAAGAATGGAGGTATTACTCACAGCCACTGAGGCTTTCATTCAGTCAGAGGAAAATGTAAACATCAATATCTTTATGCTTCATATTAAGGCGCTGGAAGAAGACAATCGATAAATGTGATAATTTCATTCATCTGGATAGGAATAAAAAAAATAAAAGAAAATTCCCAAACAACACATTATATCTTAAAATGTTACACTTCCCGATCAAATTTTAGGCCATAATTTGGGCCTTCATAAATCATTTCCAAGCTTTTCCCACATATATTGTTATACATTTAGTAAAAAATGTATTCTTATGTGTTCTGTTTCAGCATTAAGTTAATTTGAGATTCACTTATACTGATTCAGACATAACCTAATCAAATCTCGTAGGTGAATCCTTTTCAAATGTCCTGTTTTTACATCCAATTTTTCAGACAGTATAAAACGCACATAAAAATAATCTCAGTGGGAACTCTGAAGAGCTGTTGGATTATTTTCTTTTTCATGAACTAGTTATGTTTTATTAAATTACTTTTTTAATATTAATACAGGGAAGTATTTTATAGATAGAAAGCATCCAGTATGGACTGTAGTCATGGCATATTGGATAGGAATGAACTGTGCAACCTGAGAAAGGCAACAAATAAAAAATAAAAAGAAGGAGGAATTTAATAAGTCTGAGGGGATTGCTGGATTATTTTATCAGTCCCATCAGAGATGCTGTGGCTGACTGTCATAAACATTTTTTTGCACACCATGAGCAATCAGATGAGTAACTGTGCAGGGATATGTAAGGTATAGTTTTAATGAAAAAGAAAAGTCTTCCAGACAACACATTTAAGAGATATCTAGATGCCAAATAAAATGACTCCGCTGACTTGACGTAATGCTACTTGCTGCACTGTTGATTTTTTCCACCCATTTTTAAATAAATAGTCAGGAGTCAGAGCTGAGTCTAAACTATGCTGTATTATTCTACTTGATATAAGTGTTTTGCAGTGGGATAATGAGTTTATTCGTATTATAACAGCCTATTCCATGAGACTGTTAAACCTGGTTTATGCTTGATGCATCCAGGCGTGGAACATTGACAACGCAGCGTTTGCAGGAGTTTAATGGGCGGCTTTTCCCTCCTGTGTCTCACATCAGCTGTGGCTGATTCTTAGAGGTCAATGTAGGGCTAAGACCACAAGATTATACCAACAAACTACAAGCAGAAGTACAGAGCACAGGTTTTTCCCCATATATATATATATATATATATATATATATATATATATATATATATATATATATATATATATATATATATATATATATATATATATATATATATATATATACACCCCTAGATGTATGGTGTGGAATAATATGGATTCTAAAATTGGCTAAACAAAAATCCTTTATTCGTGCTCAATATGCATCCATCTTAAAGAGCAGAGCCTCACTCATTTCAATTTAACACATCGCCTTGTAACCTACCTGCGATGGTCCAGATTAGAAGTCTTTTTTGGCATGTCAAGGGATGTTGTTTTCTTCTTTTTTTTTAGGGAATCATCCCAAGAGGCCTGTTTAGTATAAAAAAAGCATTGCGTATCACCAGAGAGAAGAAGATGCCCACAGTGAGACACAGCGGTGCCTTTCTATGTATTTCTATTTCTCTATGTTGTATAAAGCCCAACTACTGCAGTAAATGCAGTCAGATTCAATGATTAAAATGCTACAAACATCAGTTAAGAGAAGCTGGACATTTTAGTCAGTGAAACTAAAATATGTAAGATTTAGCTGTATTATTCAGCCTATAGCTTTGAATGCCTTCTGTGCCCTTATTGTTTCTATGTGTTTTTAAAACTTTTGTCATAACAAAACACTTTTTTAGGGGAAATTTGGCCCACATATCTGATGACTTTAATGAGAAGTCTGAAGGACATGTCTAACAATCAATAATGTCAAAATAAGAGAAACGACTGAGCTGTTTTTTCCTGTCGTCAAGATTTGTGAGCCGATTTTACCCTGACAGCGGAGAAAATACACGATTACAGTCTGGACTTTCTGTCATTTCTCATTTATCAACTGATGACTGACATCAGAAGTGACAGAGAGAAGGTGAGGGCACTGAGACGACTGCTGCATTTTAATTTGATGGAAATTCAAGGTTAAATTTACAGTCCAACTTTTAGCTACTTGTTGTTGTGCCTTCTTTTTACGCTACTAATATAATTACCGTTCCCATATCGGTTACGGCTTAACCTAGTTACAAGTGCATATAAGGTGACCTATTTTTATTAATGATGATATTCTGGCCTCAAATGGTCAAAAAATACAAGTGCACATGGCTCCTTATTGGAAGAAAGACCCAATTCACTTTATTTATCAAATAATTAATAAACTTATCTGTGATGTGATAAAGAATTTTTTATTTTTCCTTCAGTCCAAAACAATGCACTTTATCCCCCAACATTCAATATAGACTGCTAATGTCATTCTTCCTGGCATCATAGGGGTCAAATCCCTTATATAATATTATTTAGGTTTTATACGTTAATTCAGTTCAGACTGCTGCTGCATTCCAGATATAGGCATTTCTTTATATGCAACTTAATTTTCTATTTGTATTTTTGTTTTAATTTAGAGCTGGAAAAAAACAACTCGAACCAAGAACCAACTTGCCAACCCACAAAGTAAAAATTCTTAAGTACTAGCACTACTTTGTGTAGCTTTGTAAAAGATTCGCAAGAAAGATTTCAATTTTATGTCAGTTTTTCTAAATTATATATCTCGCATATGTTTTTTTTCATTTTTTTTTTTTTATCATATCTGGAAATGAAGCCACAACCTTACAAGTCATTAAACCAGTTGGATTTGCAAGTTCTTCTGCCAAGTTATATATTTATATATTTATATCTGTTTTGCTTTTTTATAGTGTGAACAATAAAGTAACCATTTCCTTAAATAGAGATTATGCTTAAAATATGTCTTGGGTATTTTATAAAATACAGATTATAATAAAATAATTTTCTTTGCTGGATTTTAAAAGGTTTTACAAGCAAATTTGGTTTGAAGTGGGAATAGCTTCAGCTCTAATGTACATTTATGGTACATTCGGGATAATTTTTATGAGGTTGTATGTGGGAGTTTCATTTCCAAGTACACATTTTAATGCGCTAGATATTTTCTTATAATATTTAAATATATAGATTAAAACGGAATACATTATATTAACACTTTGTTTGTCATAAACTACATGCATATGTAACAACTAGAAATGAATGTGACTTTTTCAGAAAATGTCTAATTTCCGAGTTACTTTGAACGCACCGTGTGGTTTGTCGTTCTAGTTTGCGGTGCTGTGATTGGCTCATTCTTCTGGCGCCAAGAACAAGGAAGTGTAGTCGGAAGAGCTGCAAGTGAGGAGACGTTTGCTGTTTTTATTCCGATAACTGCTTACATTTGGCTGCGCGTTTAAACACATGGAGACGCCGTCTTATTTTCCCGTACCTCCCGGTGTGGGGATGGAGGAGAATTTTTTATCTCTCGATGACATTTTGCTTTCCCAGGAGAGGCTGCCTGTTCGAACGGAGTGTGTTTTTCCACGGCTTGGATTCCTGGAGAAGTCCAGTGACTCGCAGGACATTCCGGAGGTCAGTGAAGCAGAGGATTTATATCAAAGTCACTGTTTGTTCCATTAATTTTTCTAAAAGTGGCCGATATACGCATACACATGATCACGTAAGTCTTTTCGTCGACCTTTTGCATGTGTATGAAAGATGATTTTTGTCTTTTAAGAATGAACAACGAATCAGATGTGAATTCGGCACATTTCTTCTGCTTTTGCGTTATATTTGTTCAGAAACAATGCAGTTTGGCAATTACTGGGCGACATAAACAATTTCAGCTAGAAATATGAGGTTCCGTTGGTATCAAAAACAAGCAGATGTAAAATGTCTAGATGTTGTGCTGTTTGTTGCTGCATATGTCTTTGCTGCATATGTCTTTGCTGCATATGTCGATGTTGATTATGTTTATGCTGCATATGTCTATGCTGCATATGTCTATGCTGCATATGTAGATGTTGCATATGTAGATGTTGCATATGTCTAATGCTGCATGTTTAGATTCTGCATCTATGTTGCATATGTAGATTCTGCATTTATCTATGTTGCATATGTCTGTGCTGCATATGTAGATTCTGCGTTTATCTATGTTGCATATGTCTGTGCTGCATATGTAGATTCTGCGTTTATCTATGTTGCATATGTCTGTGCTGCATATGTAGATTCTGCGTTTATCTATGTTGCATATGTCTGTGCTGCATATGTAGATTCTGCATTTATCTATGTTGCATATGTCTGTGCTGCATATGTAGATTCTGCATTTATCTATGTTGCATATGTCTGTGCTGCATATGTAGATTCTGCGTTTATCTATGTTGCATATGTCTGTGCTGCATATGTAGATTCTGCATTTAGCTATGTTGCATATGTCTGTGCTGCATATGTCTATATTGCACATGTCTAAGCAGCATATGTCTATGTTGCACATGTCTATGTTGCACATGTCTAAGCAGCATATGTCTATATTGCATATGTCTATATTGCATATGTCTATATTGCATATGTCTATATTGCACAAGTCTATATTGCACATGTCTATATTGCACATGTCTATATTGCACATATCTAAGCAGCATATGTCTATGTTGCACATGTCTATATTGCACATGTCTAAGCAGCATATGTCTATGTTGCACATGTCTATGTTGCACATGTCTATATTGCACATGTCTAAGCAGCATATGTCTATGTTGTACATGTCTATGTTGCACATGTCTAAGCACCATATGTCTATGTTGCACATGTCTATATTGCACATGTCTAAGCAGCACATGTCTATATTGCACATGTCTATAATGCACATGTCTAAGCAGCATATGTCTATGTTGCACATGTCTATATTGCACATGTCTATATTGCACATGTCTAATCAGCACATGTCTATATTGCACATGTCTAAGCAGCATATGTCTATGTTGCATATGTCTATATTGCACATGTCTATATTGTACATGTCTATATTGCACATGTGTAAGCAGCATATGTCTATGTTGCACATGTCTATATAGCACATGTCTAAGCAGCATATGTCTACGTTGCACATGTCTATATTGCATATGTCTAAGCAGCATATGTCTATGTTGCACATGTCTAAGCAGCATATGTCTATGTTGCACATGTCTAAGCACCATATGTCTATGTTGCACATGTCTATGTTGCACATGTCTATATAGCACATGTCTAAGCACCATATGTCTATGTTGCACATGTCTATATAGCACATGTCTAAGCAGCATATGTCTATGTTGCACATGTCTATGTTGCACATGTCTAAGCACCATATGTCTATGTTGCACATGTCTATATAGCACATGTCTAAGCAGCATATGTCTATGTTGCACATGTCTATATAGCACATGTCTAAGCAGCATATGTCTATGTTGCACATGTCTAAGCAGCATATGTCTATGTTGCACATGTCTATATAGCACATGTCTAAGCAGCATATGTCTATGTTGCACATGTCTAAGCAGCATATGTCTATGTTGCACATGTCTATATAGCACATGTCTAAGCAGCATATGTCTATGTTGCACATGTCTATATAGCACATGTCTAAGCAGCATATGTCTATGTTGCACATGTCTATAATGCACATGTCTAAGCAGCATATGTCTATGTTGCACATGTCTATATTGCACATGTCTATATTGCACATGTCTAATCAGCACATGTCTATATTGCACATGTCTAAGCAGCATATGTCTATGTTGCATATGTCTATATTGCACATGTCTATATTGTACATGTCTATATTGCACATGTGTAAGCAGCATATGTCTATGTTGCACATGTCTATATAGCACATGTCTAAGCAGCATATGTCTACGTTGCACATGTCTATATTGCATATGTCTAAGCAGCATATGTCTATGTTGCACATGTCTAAGCAGCACATGTCTATATTGCACATGTCTATAATGCACATGTCTAAGCAGCATATGTCTATGTTGCACATGTCTATATTGCACATGTCTATATTGCACATGTCTAATCAGCACATGTCTATATTGCACATGTCTAAGCAGCATATGTCTATGTTGCATATGTCTATATTGCACATGTCTATATTGTACATGTCTATATTGCACATGTGTAAGCAGCATATGTCTATGTTGCACATGTCTATATAGCACATGTCTAAGCAGCATATGTCTACGTTGCACATGTCTATATTGCATATGTCTAAGCAGCATATGTCTATGTTGCACATGTCTAAGCAGCATATGTCTATGTTGCACATGTCTAAGCACCATATGTCTATGTTGCACATGTCTATGTTGCACATGTCTATATAGCACATGTCTAAGCAGCATATGTCTATGTTGCACATGTCTATATAGCACATGTCTAAGCAGCATATGTCTATGTTGCACATGTCTAAGCAGCATATGTCTATGTTGCACATGTCTATATAGCACATGTCTAAGCAGCATATGTCTATGTTGCACATGTCTAAGCAGCATATGTCTATGTTGCACATGTCTATATAGCACATGTCTAAGCAGCATATGTCTATGTTGCACATGTCTATATAGCACATGTCTAAGCAGCATATGTCTATGTTGCACATGTCTAAGCAGCATATGTCTATGTTGCACATGTCTAAGCAGCATATGTCTATGTTGCACATGTCTATGTTGCACATGTCTAAGCAGCATATGTCTATGTTGCACATGTCTATATAGCACATGTCTAAGCACCATATGTCTATGTTGCACATGTCTATATAGCACATGTGTAAGCAGCATATGTCTATGTTGCACATGTCTATATTGCATATGTCTAAGCAGCATATGTCTATGTTGTACATGTCTATGTTGCACATGTCTAAGCACCATATGTCTATGTTGCACATGTCTATATAGCACATGTCTAAGCACCATATGTCTATGTTGCACATGTCTATATAGCACATGTCTAAGCACCATATGTCTATGTTGCACATGTCTATATAGCACATGTCTAAGCAGCATATGTCTATGTTGCACATGTCTATGTTGCACATGTCTAAGCACCATATGTCTATGTTGCACATGTCTATATAGCACATGTCTAAGCAGCATATGTCTATGTTGCACATGTCTATATAGCACATGTCTAAGCAGCATATGTCTATGTTGCACATGTCTATATAGCACATGTCTAAGCAGCATATGTGTATGTTGCACATGTCTAAGCAGCATATGTCTATGTTGCACATGTCTATATAGCACATGTCTAAGCAGCATATGTCTATGTTGCACATGTCTATATAGCACATGTCTAAGCAGCATATGTCTATGTTGCACATGTCTATATAGCACATGTCTAAGCAGCATATGTCTATGTTGCACATGTCTATGTAGCACATGTCTAAGCAGCATATGTCTATGTTGCACATGTCTATGTTGCACATGTCTATGTTGCACATGTCTATATTGCACATGTCTATATTGCACATGTCTATATTGCACATATCTAAGCAGCATATGTCTATGTTGCACATGTCTATATTGCACATGTCTAAGCAGCACATGTCTATATTGCACATGTCTATATTGCACATGTCTAAGCAGCATATGTCTATGTTGCATATGTCTATATTGCACATGTCTATATTGTACATGTCTATATTGCACATGTGTAAGCAGCATATGTCTATGTTGCACATGTCTATATAGCACATGTCTAAGCAGCATATGTCTACGTTGCACATGTCTAAGCAGCATATGTCTATGTTGCACATGTCTAAGCACCATATGTCTATGTTGCACATGTCTATGTTGCACATGTCTATATAGCACATGTCTAAGCACCATATGTCTATGTTGCACATGTCTATATAGCACATGTCTAAGCAGCATATGTCTATGTTGCACATGTCTATGTTGCACATGTCTAAGCACCATATGTCTATGTTGCACATGTCTATATAGCACATGTCTAAGCAGCATATGTCTATGTTGCACATGTCTATATAGCACATGTCTAAGCAGCATATGTCTATGTTGCACATGTCTAAGCAGCATATGTCTATGTTGCACATGTCTATATAGCACATGTCTAAGCAGCATATGTCTATGTTGCACATGTCTATATAGCACATGTCTAAGCAGCATATGTCTATGTTGCACATGTCTAAGCAGCATATGTCTATGTTGCACATGTCTATATAGCACATGTCTAAGCAGCATATGTCTATGTTGCACATGTCTATGTTGCACATGTCTAAGCCGCATATGTCTATGTTGCACATGTCTATATAGCACATGTCTAAGCACCATATGTCTATGTTGCACATGTCTATATAGCACATGTGTAAGCAGCATATGTCTATGTTGCACATGTCTATATTGCATATGTCTAAGCAGCATATGTCTATGTTGCACATGTCTATATAGCACATGTCTAAGCAGCATATGTCTATGTTGCACATGTCTAAGCAGCATATGTCTATGTTGCACATGTCTATATAGCACATGTCTAAGCAGCATGTCTATGTTGCACATGTCTATGTTGCACATGTCTAAGCAGCATATGTCTAT